CTGAGGAGGAGGGGGTTGGGGGTCCGGCTCCTTATATAGGCCGGGGGGGTGACGGCTTGCGGGAGGGGCCAGCCGGGGCCATGTCGGTGCCGGACTCCGGTGGAGTCCCGGTCGGCCACGACGGGGAAGGCGGCGGTGGCTAGGCCAGCTGGGCCTTCGGCCCGGTCGGTCCGAAAGATTTATTTTAAAATAAAATTATAATTTCGCGCGAACAGAAAAATCCAAAAATAAAATAAATAAAAACCCTAAAACCAAAACAATTTTCACGGCCCTCTACTAATATTTAGGACCACGTGAACATTTTTCTGTAATAAAATGCAATTTTCCCTAATTTACTTGAATAAAATATCAAATAAAAATCCAATAAAATAAATATTTTTATTTAAAATTAAATTTCCATTATTTCCTCTGTTTTGAAGAAGTAATATTATCTTCTCTCATTATTTATTTATTTGGAAATAATTTGGAAAAAATAATTTCAAGTAAAATTCTCTTTGATCCAATTTACCAATTTTAAAAATTTCAAAAATGGAATTTTATGAAAACCTCCAACTCTCTCAAATGGTCCTTGATTTGCTTAAGATCTTTAGAATCAAACTGTCCAAATAAAACCAATTCAAAAAATGCAAGAATCATGAATGCATATGATTACCTAAATGATTAATTAACATCCAAATTAAAAATTAAGATGTTACATATAAAGAATGGCGGCATGGCCGTTGAGGTGCACGATCTTGCAGGGCGTGCAAGAGTGCGCATTAACGTGGGTGGAGGCATGCCTATGCTTCTTGGCTGGAGGTTGAAGGCAATTTGATAGCCAGGGCGTGCCTGTTAGTAGCTAAGAGGCTCAGGTGCGCTCTCAGCTGTCTATCGATCATAAGATCGTGCGGCTGACGTTATCTCGTGAATTATGTATGGAAACTCACTAAATCTTCCCCTAATAATAATAAAATACGTCGCGGCAATTTTTCAGAAAAACCCTTATGTTTTTAGATATTCAACCCGCAGTTCTATTTTAAATGGACCTAAGAAAACGTTTCATTTTTACAAAAACACCCTTTGTTTATTTGCATTCAACCCGCGATCCTGCGTCCGCCACCGCCGACCGCGCCCAGCGCCTTCACGCGCGGGCTCGCGCTCGAGCCTCCCCGCCGCCCCGCGCCGGCCAGCCACCAGAGCGCCGCCGTCGGACTAAGGCGCCAACCCTGCCCTCCTCTCCTTCCCTCCTGGCCCTCCACTTCTATCTCTCACCTCCCTCTCTTTCTCTCTCTCTCTCCTTCGCAGGAAGCCATGGCCGTCGGGCCTTCATGCCACGAGCTCGCCGTCGGCCTGTGACTCAAAGAGAGGGAGACGGCGAGGGGCGGTCGAGGCCAACGTGGGAGATGCTCCCGCTGACACGCACATGCAGAATCGCGACGACGGGCGTCGGTGAAGATTCCGACGAATGACGCGGGCATGACGACGGGAGTTCTGAGATCTGGGCAGCGCCATTGTTGTGGTGCTGACACGCACATGCAAGATCGCGATGGCATGTGTCGGTGAAGGTTCCGAATGACGCGGGCGTGACAACGGCAGTTCTGAGATCCATGGGCGGCGCCATTGTTGTGTTGGAGTTGGTACTTCCTGCTCGAGAGAGAAGAGAGGGTGAGAAGAGAGAGAGGAGACCGGGGAGAAGCGCGGGAAGGAGCTGGCTCACCAGCGGGGTCCTGCTGCAGATCGCCGGCGGGGGTTTGGCCCGACCCATTGGGTTCGCTGCGGGGAAAAAGGGCCCTTGAGAGCTGCCTCCTTCGTGGACGAGGGTGCGAGGAAGCGCTCGCTCGACTCACTCAAATTCGAGCTACGGGAGAGGGGCGCCTGCTCGTGCCTGCTTCTTGGACGAGGGAGCGAGGAGGCGCTCGCGCTCGAGCACGGCGGGGGATCTGTGGGAGGGATTCGCTTGAGATGGGGAAATTTGTTCTAATCCAGCTGACTATAAACAGTCGGGCCACGCGTCCACTACAGGGTCCCACGCACCGCTACCTCACCTCTTTTCTGGTTCAGTCGTTTCCTCCCACCGATCCCTATCCACACATGACCTTATCTCTCCACCATAGCACCCTGTATACATCAACTGACACACAATTTTTCATTTTACAGGGAAAGGGTCCCAACCGCCCCGGAAGCTGCATTAGATAAGACTATGGTGATACAAGTTAAATGGAGGTGCTAAAAAAAAAGAAAAATACGGCATAACAATCAGATTTTACCAGAAGGACTCTAACATAAAAGTGGGAAAAATAACTAGGTCCTCTACCACCAATCTTGAACTGAAGCTCCAGAAATCGGACGACGCCGATGCAGCGAGGAGCACCACCCTGCAGGCCTATTCAAAAACTATTCATGAGTTACAAAATAGTTTATATGTTCATAAAATATTTGCTTATTCAAAATGATCATGGATTTCAAAAAATGTTCGCTAAATCAAAATATGTTAGTGGATTTCAAAAATTGTTCCACCAATTTCCAATTAAATATTCATCGAATCTAGAAATGTTTGCCCATTCAAAAAAATTGTTTAAAAAATGTTCACAATTTTAAACAAATATTTGCAAATAGTATAAAATGTTCATGTATTCAAAAAATGTTCTTGATTTTAAAAAATGTTAAATTTTTTGTAAAAGTGTTCATGGACTTTATGATGTTTTTTTCTTCCGTTGCAACACACGGGCCATTTTGCTAGTATGATACATAAGTATGATATATAAATAGTATCTATATCAATATAAAAATATTCACAGAGGCAGATTTAATTAATTTCAGCCATCAAATTATGTTAATTCAACGACCTAGACTGCTTCAATATCGAGCGCTCAACACGTTTAGCGTGCAGTTAGTTTCATATCAAATATAGTGCTAATCACATAATAACACGCAAATAATATTCTACTTAATATCCACATATATTTAATATACCTTTAAATTAACGTGCATTGTACGTACACATTGACTAGTGATATATAAGTATGATATACATATATATGTGGCTTTTAACTGGGAATAACATGCATCTGTCATATGCCATGTCTAACCGAATTATGTACTAAGACATCTGGAAGCTCACTAAAAGTGCACTGAAAGCTCAGTCACGAAGAAACAAAACAATCGAAGGCCTGGACGGCTAGAAGCTCCGGTTGTTCATTCGGCTGCGGACCCGCCGTATGAACATGTCAGCGGCGTGGTCGATCTCCTCCTTGATGTTGAACTCCTTTCCGTCCCCTTCCCTGCACCTCCTGATGACGTCCATCACCGACGGCTCGTCGTCAGGCAGCCGATCTTCCTCCATTGCCTCCGCGCCACCACCGCGTTCCTCCTCGTCGACATCGTCGCCCTCCTGGAGGCTGCAGTCGTCATCGTTGTCGTCGAACAGTGAGTGCGTCCAGTCTGGGTAGCCGTAGTGGCCGTCATCGTCGTCGCCGACCACTTCTTGCAACAGCTCGGAGAGGCCTGGGACGTCGACTCCATGCATCGCGGCCTGCCCGTCCTCCTCCGCCGCCATCGTCGACGAGGCGTGGACCTTGCGGTGGTCGTGCACCGGGTCTCTCTGGCGGCCCGGCAGGAGGGCGCGGAGGTGGCGCGACACGGTGCCGACCATCGCCGTCCTGTGGCGGAACGAGGCGAGGAAGAGGAGCCGCGCCCTGAGGACGCCAGCCCTGCCCCTCAGCGCCCGCACCGCCTTCCTCAAGAACTCGGCAGCTTTGCTGATCTTCGTTTTGACCTTCATCTTTCCGGGTAGCTTCTTTCGAACTCCTTCTTGGCTACCTAGCTACAGTAGTTCTTTAGCGAGTGCAGGAATGCGGACAAGAGAGAACAAATTGGTGCTGCTGGTTATCAATTGCAATTAACGAGTGCGTGTGTGGTACTGGTAATGGCGAGACTGAAGTGTTGATGCATGGGACATGTGCCTTGTTTTAAGGACACGGGAGCTCAATTATTTATAGATGCAGGCAGCTAGCCAACTCAGGGTAACCGGGAAGGTCAAAAGAAGGAAAGGTACCAAGAAACTTGGGAGCTCGACAAAGCAAAAGCTCTTTTTGAGGAGAGACACTGCCCAATCAAACTCTTCTATGGACCAAAAGCTCTTTTTGAGGAGTGCACTTCAGGAATGCATTTTACCTTTCGGGTGAGGATGTCCACTCTATATACAAACTACATCTATATCCAACTCTAGAAAGTTGGGAAATACTTTGATATTTTTGAAAGAAAAAGAAAATATAGTATTTCAAACATCCTCCATCCATTATAACGAAATCCGTGTACTTTTGTGTAAAACCACCCAAACTCTGAATATTTCTCATTGACAAACAAAAATCTCTAGCTTTTTTTTTCACGAATACGCAAAGATTGAATATCATTGCATTGATAGGAGAGAAGAATGAGTACAAGGAGCGGCTACATGAGCATCACCTACATGAGCTGGCATGAGCTTAGGAGACCAAAGCTGAGGGACAAGGGTTGGTCAGCCGTAACAAAAAATATGAAAAACTATCTCTTGGGTAACATAGTGGCCAATCACTGGCGCCGGCACTGGCTCAGAGGCGGATGTCTTCTTTTATGGACACACGAGATGCGAGACCGAAGGTCGTTCCCCATCAAAAATGCATCTGTTCCGGTGTCTTCATAGTCCCCAGCAGTGGCGGAGCTACAGCAAGGCTACATGGGCCATGGCCCGCCCAGCTTTGTAGCATTTTCTTCTATGAAAGTCAGCTCATGAGCCCAGAAAAATCAGACATTGATATTATTTTGCATTGCGGCCCGCCCAATCTTTTGCTAGAAGCTCCGCCAGTGGTCCCCAGGCGGTGAGCGTAATAGAGGAAAGACCATTGCGAAGTGCGGAGGGGGAGGAACAGCTGGAAACAGCCCACCATTCAGTGAAGGACGTGTCGATGTGGAGGGCAAAGTAGCCATAGATCGGGACCAAGAGAGCACCTTGTGCGAAACGTGTCGAAAGTGTGTTCATTTGTATGGAGTCCAGTAGTTTTACATAATACTCACGAAACTTCATGTATTTCTACTTTTTAATAGCAAGACCTTGCATTCATGAACAACAAGAATATCTCTATTGTGGAGTTGTGGAGCGCCCATATTTATAATGTATAGGCCTCATGCAGCGGCGGAGCCTGGATTTTCAACATGGGTATGCGGAGTAAAAAAATTGTTGCACAACCATGTAAGAAATAAAAAAGTTCATAATAATAACAGCGAAACTACAAATTATTCATTGTAGCAACCGTTTCTCTAATAATTCAGTTGGATCGTAACAAGGAGAAATGATGGTGTTTTTCTTTATTTGCATGAAGAATTTACCCTCAAGAAAAGTAATCAAGCAATCATTTAAATAGTGTTCCTCTATGGTGGAAAATCTTCCAAATTCAAATGTTTATAATTCAGAAATTTAGATGCATAAAACTGACCTTGGTTTCCTTGCACTTCTTCAGAAGTTTTATAGCGAGCCAATGCAGACCATGCTCAAAATTGACTGAACACTACAGTAGATCAACCAAAACAAAATTAGGGAATGAAGATAACCCTCTATTCTCGACTAACAGTTCAAAGAAATTAACAAAATTGCGGGAAAAGGAAATTATAATTAAACACTCCCAAAAAATAATCAGACGATGGACGAACTGCTCATGTCGCTGTTGCCACTTGTATGCTACTGGCAGATGCGCCGTGATGCTGCCGACTGCGTACTGATGTACTGCGAAGCAGCGAAGGGCGTGGGCTGGTTAAGGAGATCGATCAGCAAGATGCGGCGATCTGCGATGGCTGACAGATGAGATAATGCTGCGGCGGCGGTTGCTCTCCTCGACTTCGATCAATCAGCTAGCAGCCTGGCTAGCGTTAAGCCTCAAGGATGAGGCCCAGTAGCACTGTAGTAGCAACGTAGCAGCCCAACATAGGCCCAACTGGCGCTGAATCGTTCGTCTGTTCCGTTTATACAGCCCTGTACGTACAACGAGACCGCCATACACTTTATAAATGCATATAGAAGCTTATATACTGAATTTTTTCTGCAAAAAATATTGGGTATGCATTGCATACCCTTGCATTAGCCTAGCTCCGCCCCTGGCCTCATGTAGTCTTTCGATAAAAAGAAGGCAAGCAATGCAAAAAGCAATAAAATAAACACACAATACACGAATAGGGTTTAAGAAACATCATTAAAAATAACATAATGAAGAACACTAACTTTTCCATGGCAGTGTGAACGGCCGTAGGAGGAAGAACTTCGTTCACACCCTTCAGAGTGAGCAGGGCATCGCCATCACTAGGGAGGACAAGGAGAGTGTAATGTTATCTTATTTTCTGAGGCAGCTTGGTTCTCAACTAGGACAATCTAAGACATCCTCATCCACAAATTGTTGAAATTTGGCGCCCCTTCACGAGCAAGAGATAAAAGTATGGTTTTCTTTTCCCCTTCGTCGAGGCATCGGCCCGGGACGGATTCATGAGAGTGTTCCTCAAGTCTTCTAGTGGTAAGTGTTGTTGGGAGATCATCAAGAGGGGTGTGGTTTCGGCCATCTTGCAGTTATCGTTCCTCCGAGGAGACTGCGCCCCCTTATCAACTTTCCAAACATCATCATGTTGCCCTAGAATTCTAATGTGTATGGGGTGTGCGGTTACCGGTCAATTAATCTCATCCACGGCCTCCAAGATCTTCTCCAAGCTTTTGGCCAACATGATCATGCTGATCGTGTCGATGATAGTTTCCAAGTGCCATAGTGCCTTCATCCAGAAACATCGTATCTATGACAACTTAATGCACAAAGGCCTTTGAATCTTTCACTTGGTCTATCTTCTGGAAGTGCTCCATTGGCTGGGTTTTGGTCAATGCTGGCGGGATGGTTTTCCTTTTTGTCCCTAGACTCTTCGTCCTTGATGATCATGCTAAATGGGAATCCCGACCTTCCTTCGGGCATGCTTGCGGGTTACGTTAGGGTGATCCCTTACCTCTGATGCTCTTTATCCTGGTCACAGACCACCTGCAGCAGATCCTTCGACTCACTTCTTTGAGGGGTGTTCTCAAACCCATCCGGTCGCGCACCGCGTGTGCAGGATTTCAGTCTTCGTAGATGATGCATACATTTGTGGAACGCATAAAAGGAGAAGTTATTCACAATTTCCGCGATGCTTGCAAATTTTGGGAAGGCTAGCGGACTCGTCACAATTTTTCTAAGACGGAGTCCCTTCCCATCAAGTGCACTGGCATTAACCTTGTTGACGTCCTATCCACCTTCTCAGCTAAGATTGCCTCCTTGGTCAATACCTGGGTCTCCCCTGCACTTTCATCGGCTGCGCACGATTGACTTCCAACCCCTCATCGATAAGACTACTAGAAGGTTGCGGGGTTGGATGGGTAAGCACCTTAACAAGCCTAGGAGAGTTGCACTCGCCAAGTTCATTCTCTCCACCACCGCTGCATACCACATCATGGCGATCACCCCCAAGTGGATCTTCAAACTCAACAAAATAACATGCAACGTCATCTGAAGAAAGGAGGACCATGAGTAAGCATCTGGTGGTCGTTCATTGGTCAACTGTTTGCCGTCCAAATAATTTGGGTGGCCTTGGGATCGCCAACATTGAGATATTTGGACGTATGTTGTGCCTCCCCCGGCCCTAGTTATAATGGACAGACCTTGGGAGGCCATGGTGGTAACACAACTCCCATGCGATCAAGTTTACATGGACCTTTTCTGGGTCTGCACCACCATCACCATTAGGAACAAGCACAAGGGGC